GTGGGCGGCCAAGCGTGTCTACGCCCGCACGACCGCCTCGACGCCCATTGTGTATACGTGTGTGAGAGAGAGAGAGAGAGAGAGAGAATGATGGGGAGAAGAGAGAGGGAGAAAGGGAGAGAGGAGAGGGAGAGGGAGAGGGAGAGGAGAGAGGAAGGAGAAGGGAGAGGGAAGGGAGGAGGGAGGGAGGGAGGGGAGAGAGAGAGGAAAGAGGAGAGGGGAGAGGGAAAGAGGGAGAGGAGAGGGAGAGAGAGGAAGAGAAAGAGGAGAGAAGAGAAGACAGAGACAGACAGAGACAGACACAGACAGACCAACAGACAGACAGAGACAGTACCAAAGACAAAGACAGACAAATAAACAACCCCCCCCCATCCCCCCCGCCACGCCCACCCTCGACCCCCGCAAGCACAGGGACGCCCCCCCGGACCCCCCCACCTGGCTCTCCTCACGTCCTGCTCCTCCTTCAGGCGACGCACCGTATGCCTGACGCGTCCTCTGGGGCTGGGCATCAAGGGGGTGGGGTGGGGGTGGGGGGGAGGATCCTGCTGGCTGATAAGGACGGGTGGAGTGGGGGGGAGTGGGAGGAGGAGAGTGGAGGGGGTGGAGGGTGGAGAGGGTGGAGGGAGGAGTGGAGGGTGGGGACTGAGGGTGGGAGGTGGAGGAGAGACAGAAGAGAAGAGAAGAAAAAGAATGGACGGAGAGAGAAAAAAAGACACGAGAGATAAAAGAAGGAAAGATATAAGAGAAGAGAGTGAGAGAAAGAGAGAGAGAGAGAGAGAGAGAGAGAGAGAGAGAGAGAGAGAGAGAGAGAGAGAGAGAGAGAGAGAGAGAGAGAGAGAGAGAGAGAAAGAGAAGAAAGAAGAAAGAAAGAAAGAAAAAAGAAGAGAAGAAAGAAAGAGAGAAAGAAAGAAAGAGAGGAGGAGGCGATATGACAGAGGAATTCTAAACACGAGAGAGAAAGAGAGCGAGAGAAGAGCGATACGCGAGGCTCAACGCGGACCGCCGAAGCTCCTCCAGACAAGACGTGGTTTATGTCCAGCAAAACCGGTTGGAGAAGCGACTTACACAGAGAGGGAAGGCCAGACAGACAGACGCTCTCCTCCCTCCTCTCGGTACTCAAAAAAAAAGCTACACACAAGGATCTGTAGCATTCTACGGCGCCGGTGGCTCTGGGATCCGAAGCACGAGTCGAACCGTAGGAACGAAGCACGTGCCGCGTGTGGCTGAAGCGTGAGTGGAGCCTAACTGAAGCCCCGAGCTCTATGGCAGCGCGTGTGGTGTGTGATAAGAGAGGTCTTGCATCTAGTGTACATTGTTGTCTTTACGCTGAAAGTACTACGCGTAAATCATTACATATTGATGACTGGTAGAAGAACTCACTTAACCAGGTGTTTTGTCTTTGGTGGGACTTTTTGACAGCCATTTGTTTTAATGAATGTCTGAATATCTGTTAAGTGCTGATCTTTGCGAGTTTCTGGTACTGGTATAAATGCGGGTGAATGACGATTCAATATAGCAACCTGAAGTCTTTTCACAAAAGGGAATATACTTAATTTTAGACCCAACAGCAGGCGGAAAAAAACAGACATGGAATCCCGCAATACACACGGATATTTGCATATAAATACTAGTCATTACTGAATGCGACAGTTCTAATAAAGCCGTCAACATCAGCTGTTTTGCACGACGAACGTAAAAGACACAGCACTCCTTCTCCCCCCCCCCCCCCCCCCTCCCACGGACACACATTCCCACGCAGCTTTCGTCAAGTGATACGAACAAAGCGAAACAAAACACGCAAATACAACACAACAAAACAATACCGACAAACAACAACCACACCACACACACCACCACCAACTCCACGTCACCACCAATAAAGAAGAACAACATACAGCAACCCACCAACATCAGCAGCACACAAACAAACAACAACAACAACAAAAAAACTCACCTGTCGCAGGTCGAGGGTGATGGTGACCCACTCGTTACCTCCTGCCGGCGGCCAGGGAGGGGCTCTGCCACCAGGAGTTGGTGCCGTCAATGGCGTTGGCGATGGGGTGGCGGGCGCGCGGGTCGGGGGACCGGGAGTCACACACGCCGCACTGGGGGGCGCGGTTCCCCGAGTGCTCCGTCAGCTTGCAGTACACCTGGGGAGGGAGAGGGGGAGAGGGTGAGACGGGAGATGAGAGGGGAGAGGTGAGACGGGGAGGTGAGACGGGGACGGGGAGAAGACGGGGAGGGAGAGGGGAGAGAGGTTGAGACGGGGAGGGAGAGGGGAGGTGAGACGGGGAGGGAGAGGTGAGACGGGGAGGGAGAGGGGGGGAGGGAGGTGAGACGGGGAGGTGAGAGGTGAGACGGGGAGGTGAGAGGGGGGAGAGGGGGAGAGGTGAGACGGGAGGGAGAGGGGAGAGGTGAGACGGGGAGGGAGAGGGGAGAGGTGAGACGGGGAGGGAGAGGGGGGAGGTGAGACGGGGAGGAGACGGGGAGGGAGAGGGGAGGTGAGACGGGGAGGGAGAGGGGAGAGGTGTGAACGGGGAGGGAGAGGGGGAGAGGTGAGACGGGGAGGGAGAGGGGGGGGAGGGAGACGGGAGAGAGGGGAGAGGTGAGACGGGGAGAGGTGAGACGGGGAGGGAGAGGGGGGGAGGTGAGACGGGAGGAGAGGGGGGGAGGTGAGACGGGGAGGAGAGGGAGTTGAGACAGGAGGGAGAGAGAGTTGAGACGGGAGGGAGAGGGGGAGTAGACAGGGAGGGAGAGGAGAGGTGAACGGGGAGGAAGACGGGGAGTGAGACAGGGAGGGAGACGGGGAGTGTAACGGAGGTGAGACGGGGAGCAGAGGGGGAGGTTGAGACGGACATGAGACGGGGTGTATAGTTGAACGAGGGAGGGGATGGTAGGAGGTGAGAGTGGGGAGGTGTGACGGGGGAGGAGAGGGGGAGAGTGGAGACGGGAGGAGAGGGAGAGGTGAGACGGAGGTGAGACGGGGGGAGGGAGAGGGGGAGGTGAGACGGGAGGGAGCGAGGGAGAGGGAGAGGGGGGGAGGAGACAGGGAAGCGAGAGGGGGAGGGAGACCGGGAGTAGAACGGGGGGAGAGAGGGGAGAGGTGAGACGGGGAGGGAGAGGGAGGTTGAGAGAGAGGGAGGAGCGGGGAGGGGAGAGGGGGGGAGGTGAGACAGGGAGGGAGAGGGGAGGAGGGAGGTGACGGGAGGGAGGGAGAGGGGGAAGGGAGACGAGAAGGGAGAGGTGAGACGTGGGAGGGAAGAGGGGGGGAGGAAGACGGGGGAGGGAGAGGGGAGAGGTGAGACGGGAGGGAAGGGGAGAGGTGAGGGGGAGGAAGAGGGGGAGGTGAGACGGGGAGGGAGAAAGGGGAGAGGTGAGGGGGGATGAGGGAGGAAGGGGAGAGGTGGAGGGGGAGAGACGGGGAGGTGAGAGGGAGAGATGAGACGGGGGAGAATGAAGATGATGCTTGGAGCTGACCAGAAGGAGGGGAAAGGTGAGAGAGAAATGAGGTCGTCGTTAGGAGATGCTCGCAGGAGGCTTGGAAGAAGGCGAGGATGAGAGAAAAAAAAATGAGGATCATCTGTATGAGAAGATGAGGAGATGTGACTGGAAAAAAAAAATACGTTTCGTCAGCTTGAGATGCTTGCAGTAGCCTGAAGGAGGGAGAAGATGAGAGGTACAAGGAGGGACAACCTTGAGAAATGAGTTTCGTCCTTCTCCTGCCCATGAGCCCCTTGGACGGGACACAATACTGGCCGGGAAGGTGATGGAGATAGTGATAGCAATGGGGATTATGTCAGCTATTATCATCATACTGATAACTATAACAATATTGATAATGACAGTTGCAGTCGTAATACTGAATAATGATATGAAATGATAATAATAACAACTATAATAACAATAACATTAACAATAATGATAATGATGATAAAAAACAACAACCAATAATAAGAATAGGAACAACTACAATAGTGGTTATAACAATAACAAAACAATAATACCATCCCCCTTCCCTCCCTCCCTCCCTCCCTCTCTCCTCTCTCTCCCTCCCGCCACCAAAATGAGTACCCCCTCCCTCCCCTCCTTCCCTCCTTCCCCCGAGAAGTACTTCCCCCCTCCCGAAGTACTTCCCCTCCCCCTCTCCTCCCTCCTCCTGCCCTCACCCCCCCCCCCTCCCTCAAAATCACTTGCTTGCGCGGCGGGGTTGCTTGCTCCCGAAGGCGCTCGTGTTGCTGGGCGAGAGAGCAAGCAAGCAAGCAAGCAAGCAAGCAAATCAGGCCACACGGTGTCTCTGCTTACGCCTGCTTCCATTTTTTTCTAGGCTTTGTTTTTGTCTACTTTTTTTTTTTTTTTTTTTTTTGCTCGTGTGTGTGAGCGGTTCGTAATTTTTTAGGGTGTTTTCTTGTTCGCTTGTTATCGGTTGCCTTTTTTTCTCTCTCTTTCTCTTCTGCGTTGTGTTTTTTTCTTTCATATTCATCCTCATCCTCCATCTTCGTCTTCTTCTTTTTTTTTCTTCTTTCATATTCATCTCATCCTTCATCTTCGTCTTCTTCTTTTTCTTTTCTTCTTTCATATTCATCCTCATCCTCCATCTTCGTCTTCTTCTTTTTCTTTTTTACCTCTACCAAGGATATTTTTGGAAGCGTTGGTGGCGTTGGTAGGGAGGGTGGGTTGGTGGGTGGGTTAGTGGGTTGGTTTAATTAGTAAATTAGTTGGTTAATTAGTTGGTCTATTTATTCGTTGGTTAAGAGAACTCAAAACAGTTATAAGCAGATTTTTTTATGAATTATACCAGAGGTGTTTTAGCCTAAATTAGATGCCATTAATTAAATTAATTAATTAAATCTCGGTCGTAATCCGGATCCGGGAATTTTCTAAATTGCATCAATTAACCCTACATACAGGGGTGAATCTTGTTATTATCATCATTATCTTTATCATCCCTGCGAAGGAGGTTATGCTTACCGACATGACCGGTCGACTTGAGAAAGAGATGATTTTGATGTAATTCTTCAATTTTTTTTTTCCTTGCATCTTCTGAAAATTTCCTTGCATCGGTGACCCTACTGCGCTCTCTGGGTACTTCTCGTCTTTGTCTTTGTCTTTTTCGTTTTCTTTTTTTTTCTCCTCCTCCCTTCTCATTATTATTTTTTTTCCTACTACTCTTTCCTCTTCTTCTATTTCTTTCTCTTTCTTCTTCTTTTCCTCCTCCTATTTTCCGTCTCCCTCTTCCCAATTTTCTTCATCTTCTCTTTCATATCTTCTTTTTATTTATCTCTATTTTCCAGCCTTATTTTCAACATATACATTGTGCTTTTTTTTTTTTTTTTTTTTTTTTTGACATTGTTCTAAGTCTCATCATGTTCTCGAAATGGAAATATGGTAACATCTTACATCTTCCATATTCCCCTTTTTCACAGCTATCATATTTTCCCTTTTACACAAGATTATTTGATTCTTTATAGTTCTGCTTATTACATTATAACATCTGTTTCTTTTTAATTTTGGGGGAGGGGTTTAAATTCCGGCGTATTTCATGATCTTTCACCTCAAAAGCAGTCTGTAAAAGGTCTTGTATTTAAAAAAAAAAATATCTACCTGGGGTAAACTGTGACAAAATTGAAAAAAAAAAATCAACTTCAAACGAATAAGTTTCTTTCTGAAGGCTATTAACTGCCAACGTTTCCCTTCAGTGTTTAAAACCTTTTACTAGAACCTAAATTTACTAGCATTTTACTAGAACCTAAATCGCCAAGGCAGCTGGTGTGCAAAAATCAGTCAAGAGAGCAATGACACGCCTTTTTGAGAGGACGTTCCTGAACTGGTGCGAATGTGTGTAGTTCCAGATGTCAATAAAATGCACTCACACAAACAAAACAAACGCACGTGTGGCTTAGTGCTTTTTTTTTTTTTTTTTTTTTTTTTTTTTTTTTTTTTTTTTTTTTTTTTTTTTTTTTAGGGTGTTTATTTGCTCAACCTCCGCAGAACCATCGACCTGGAACCAAAGCGGACGAAAAGGCAAACAAATACAAACAAATACACCAATTCCTGAAATCTAAACCTTCTAACCTATCTCCCATACCCTTCCTCTCCCCTCCCCCCCTCCCCCACACCTCTCCGCTACCCCTTCCCTTCCCTACCCCCCCCCCCCTTCTTCTCACCTCCCCATACCATACCCTTCCCCCCTCCCCACCACCTCTCCGCTACCCCTTTACCCCCTTCCTACACACACACCCTTCTCTCCCTCCCTCTTCCTCCCCAACCTCCTCCGCTACCTTTACCCTTCCCTTCCCTACATCCCCCCCTTCTTCTCACCTCCCATACCCTTCTCTCTCCCTCCCCTTCCTCCCCCACCACCTCTCCGCTACCCCTTTACCCTTCCCTTCCCCTACACCCCCCCTCCCTCTTCTCACCTCCCCCATACCATACCCTTCCCCCTCCCCCCAACCACCTCTCCGCTACCCCTTTACCCTTCCCTTCCCCTACACCCGCCCTTCCTCTCCCCTCCCCCTACCCCATACCCTTCCCCCTTCACCCTCCCCCTCCTCCCACCCCCTACCCCATCCATTCACATCCGCGGAGTGACACAACCGACTCCCACAACAGGGCATCGATTTTTCAGTCAACCGGCCACTTAACTAACTCCGAACCGGGCTGGGAGTTGACAGCGCTTCGTCTCCGGTTACCGGAGGAGGGAGGAGGAGGGAGGAGAAAGGAGGAAGGAGGAGGAAGCGGAGGGGAAGAGAGGAGGGAGGAGGGAGATGGAGGAGAGAGAAAGGAGGAGGGAGGAGGAGGAGGAGAGGGGAAGGAGGAGGAAAAGGAGGGAGGAGGAAAGGGGAAAGGGAAGTAGGGAGGAGGGAGGAGGAAAGGGGAAAGAGGAAGGAGGAGGAAAGGGGAAGGAGGAAGGAGGAGGAGGAAAGGGGAAGGAGGGAGGAGGAGGGAAGGAGGGAGGAGGAGGGGAAGGAGGGGAGGAAGGGGAGGGGGAGGAGGAAAGGGAAGGAGGAGAGGAAGGAGGAGGAGGGAGTGGGAGGAGGGGAGGAGGAAGGAGGAGGAGGGGGAGGAATGAGATAGGAGGAGGAAAGGGGAGGAGGGAGGAGGGAGGAGGAAAGGGAAGGAGAAAGGAGGAGGAGGGAGAGGAAGGAGGAGGAGGAGGGAGAAGGAGGAAGGAGGAGGAGGAGGGAGAGGAAGGAGGAGGAGGAGGTAGAGAGGAGGGTAGGAGGGGGAGGGCGAGGGGAAGGGGGCTAGACGGAACCGGGTCTATGGGGAAGGTCGACTCAGGGTTGGAAAGGTGAGGGGGAAGCAGGAAGGTGGGGGAGGGGAGGGAAGGGGAAGGAGGGAGGAAAAAGAAGGGGGGAAGGGAGGGAGGAGAAAGAAGGGGGAAGGAGGGAGGAGAAAGAAGGGAGGTAGGGAGGGAGAAGGGAAGGGGGAAGGGGGGAAGGGAGGGAGGAGAAGAAGGGGGAAGGGAGGGAGAGAAAGAAGGGGGAAGGGAGGGAGGAGAAAGAAGGGGGAGGGAGGGAGGAGAAAGAAGGAGGGAAGGGAGGAGGAGGAGGGGGAAGGATATGGATAAGGGGAAGAGCTGAGATAGGGGAGACGGGAAGGTGGGGGGAGGGGAGGGTGACGGCGGGTGGAGGATGGTGGAGGAAAGGAGGATGGATGGGAGGGGGAGGGAGGTAGGTGGATGGGGGAGGGAGGAATAGGGGGGGGAGGGGAGGTGGTGGATGGGGGAGGGGGGAAGGGAAGGAGGGTGGGAAAAGGGGATATTCGATTTGTTAAACAAGTCCTGGGAACACAAGACACAGTACGACATGGGGACGAGGTGAGGAGGGGGGGGTAGAAAGAGGAGGGGGAGTGGGACAGGGGAGGGGAGGAGGAGGAGGAGGGAGAGGGGGTGGGACAAAGGGGGGGTGTAAAACGTAGTAGGAGGAGGGAGAGGGAAGGGGGGAGGAAGGGGGAAGAAGGAGGAGCAGGAAAAAGAGGAAGGAAGGAAGGAGGAAGAGGAGGAGGAGGAGGAGGAAGGAGAGGAAGGAGGAGAGGAGGAGGGAGAGGGGGAGGAAGGGAGAAGAGGAGAGGGTACGGGGTAGGAGGGAGGGTTGGGGAAGGAGAGGGAGCAAAGACGGAAGAGAAATTGAAGAAATTACAGGGAGGAAGAGAGAGAGAAGGGAATTGCGTAATGTTTACTGCCGAGTGATTCATCATCCATGCTTTTTTATCGAGTTTCGAAATATCTTGTTTTTTTTTTTAGGTATCTTTACGAGTGAAATATTTCCACCTTGTTATATCAAATATAAGGAAATACAACGGATAAACTGAGATAGTGTGTAAGCCTTCAATAAAATTTCCTAAACATCTAAGTCTTATCTTTTTTCTCGCGCTCCCATCCTTGTTCTTTCATCTACCATTTCTGAACTTTTGTCCCCTCTTTCTTTACCTTTTTCTTCTCCTTTTCCCTCCCTCTACTCTCTTCTTTTCTTTTCTCCCTTTCTCTCTCTCTCCCTCTCTCTCCCCCTCTCTCTCTCTCTCTCTCTCTCTCTCTCTCTCTCTTCTTCTTGTCCTTATCCTTTTCCCTCTCTCCTTTATCCCCTTCTCTCTCCTTCTTTTCCTCTTCCTCTTCCTCTTCCACACCCTCTACCACTCCCTTTCTCTCTTCTCTCCCTCTCCTTCCTTTCCCTTTCCCACTTTATACCTCTCTCTCTCCCTCTCCCACGCCAATTCCCTCTCCTTGCCTCCCTTCCTGCCTCCCTCCATTTCCCTTCCCCTCTCCCCCTTCTTCCCTCACCCTCTCCTCCCTCTCCCTCGTCCCCTCTCCCCTCTCCCTCTTCCTCTCCCTCTTTCTCCCATCCCTCCCTCTCCCCTTCCCCCCTCTCCTCCCTCCTCTCTTTTCCCATCCTCCCTCTCCCCCTCTCCCCCTCTCCCTCCCTCTCCCTCCCTCTCTCTCTCTCCCTCTCCCTCTCCCTCTCCCTCTCCCTCTCCCTCCCTCTCCTCTCCCTCTCCCTCTCTCCCGCAACAGGAAACGGACACCAAAGAAACAGGTCTTATTGAAACACCGTTTACAGCTGGGAGGAAATTCTTGTTAATTTGTGATTTGTTGAAAGGAATAAAGGGGGTGATTAAACAACAATAAATGATAAAGTGACATATAATAAGGGAAATATGAGTGAAATTGTGAAATTATGATGAATGGTGATAGGTGGAAGGATAATGAATAATGAAGAAATAATGAAATAAATGGCGTGGATTAATAGAACAGTGAATAATGATAATAAGTGATAAAGATAAGGAAAATGATAAACCAACAAAAGAGAAATAAAAAACTGAATTGTGTTTCTTATCGAAATATTTACAAGGAATAAACAAATCGCCAAAAACACTCAATTTACGAAGAATAATAAGCAAAAATAGTGACAAGAAGAAGAATTGATAAAGAACTATAAGAATGGTGATAATGGTGATAATGGTAATGTAAGAGTAGCGGAACTATGGATGACAAAGTTAATGGTAGCTGTAGTGGGCGAGGTAAAATAATAGATACAATAATGGTATTGATAATGGTAGCAATTGAGGTCATGGTATGGTAATGGTACTGGTAAAGATGGTGATGGTAACAGTGATGGCGATCATGGTAGTGGCCATAATGAGATCTGAAGAAGAAATTAATAAAAAGAGGAGAGAGAAAAAAAGGAAAAAGAAAAAAAATAATAAAAAGAGGAGAGAGAAAAAAAGGAAAAAGAAAAAAGAATAAAAGAGGAGAGAGAAAAAAAAGGAAAAAGAAAAATGTTTTAAAAGCAATCATGTTTGAAGTGTTATTGAGATCTAAAGAAAGAAAAGAAAAGAAAAAAAAGACAAGACAAGAAACGAAAAAAAAGGAAAAAGCAAGAAAAAAAGAAACAGAGAGAAGAAAAGAAGAAAAAAAAGAAAATGAAAAAGCAAGAAAGAAAGAAAAGGAAAAGGAGAAGAAAGAAAAGAAGAGAGAAAAAAAAGAAAAGAAAAAAAAAATAACACACACTCTTCAACAAAAGTACTTTCTCCGCACGAGTAACAACACCCCCCCTCCTTCACCCCCCTCCCTCCCCTAAAGAAAGAAAGAAAGAAAGAAAGAAAAAAAAAGATGGACCGAAAGGCGAGCAGCAGCTGCCCCAAAGAGGAATTAATAGGGAGAACAAAGAGGCGGGTTAACGAGAGATAACAAAGAACAAAAGGAGGAGGAGGAGGAGAAGGGGGAGAGAGGAGGGGGAGGAGGAGGAGGAGGAGGAGGAGGAGGAGGAGGAGGAGGAGGAGGAGGAGGAGGAGGAGGAGGAGGAGGAGGAGGAGGAGAGAGGAGGAACGAGGAGAGGAGGAGGAGGAGGAGGAGGAGGAGGAGGAGGAGGAGGAGGACGAGGACGGGACGAGGAGAGGAGAGGAGAAGGAGGAGGAAGAGAAGAAGAGGAGAGGAAAAGGAGAAGGAGGAGGAGGAGCAGGAGAAGGAGGAGAGGAAGAAAAAGGGAAGGAGAAGGAAGAAGGAAAGGAGGAGGAGGAAGAGCAGGAAGCGGAGAAGGAGGAGGAAGAGTAGCAGGATGAGGACGAGGTGGAGCATGAGGAGAAGCAGGAGGTGGAGGAGAGAGAAGAAGGGATGGACGAGGAGGAGGAGGAGAAGAAGACGAAGGAGGGATGGAGAGGAAGGAGGAGGAGGAGAAAACGAAGGAGGAACGAGGAGGAGGATGGACGAGGAGGAGGAGGAGGAGGACGAAGGAGGGGAGGACGAGGAGGAGGAGGAGGAAAGAAGACGAAGGAGGGGATGGACGAGGAGGAGGAGAAGAAGCGAAGGAGGGATGGACGAGGAGGAGAAGAAGACGAAGGAGGGATGGACGAGGAGGAGGAGGAGAAGAAACGAAGGAGGGGATGGACGAGGAGGAGGAGGAGAAGAAGACGAAGGAGGAGATGGACGAGGAGGAGGAGGAGAAGAAGACGAAGGAGGGATGGACGAGGAGGAGGAGAGGAGAAGAAGACGAAGGGAGGGGATGGACGAGGAGGAGGAGAGAAGAAGAGGAAGGAGGGATGGACGAGGAGGAGGAGGAGAAGAAGACGAAGAAGGACGAGGGAGGAGGAGGAGGAGAAGAAGACGAAGGAGGATGGACGAGGAGGAGGAGGAGACGAAGACGAAGTGGCGAGGAGGAGGAGGAGAAGAAGACGAAGGGGGATGGACGAGGAGGAGGAGAGAAGAAGACGAAGGAGGATGGACGAGGAGGAGGAGGAGAAGAAGACGAAGGAGGGTGGACGAGGAGGAGGAGGAGAAGAAGACGAAGGAGAGGAGAGAGAGGAGAATGAACAATCAATGACAAGCGCTACGAGTGATCGCGGGGGGGGGGGAGAGGGGGGGGAGTCCTTCGGTTACTCCCTCGAGACGATCGGCGGCGAAGAGAGGGTGGCTGTTGGGGGGATTTAAAGGGGGGAGGGGGGGGGAGAGTTAGGGAGAGAGGGGAATGGGAGGGGAGGAAAGGGGAGGGGAAGATGAGAGGGGAAGGAGGGGAGGGAAGGAGAGAGGGAAGGGAGAGGAGGGGAGGGAAGGGGAGGGGAGGGGAAGGGGAAGGAAGGGGAAGGAAGGGGAAGGAGAGAGGGGAGAGAAAGGGGAGACGGGAGGGGAGGGGAGGGGAGGGGAGGGGAGGGGAGAGGAGGGGAGGGGAGGGAGAGGAGAGGAGAGGAGAGGAGAGGAGGGAAGGGAAGGGAAGGGGAGGGGAGGGGAGGAGAGGAGAGTGAAAAGGAGGGGATGGAGAGGGAAGATGAGAGGGGAGGGGAGGGGGAGGGGAATGGGAGGGAAAGGGAGGAAAGGAGGGGAGGGGGGGAGGGGAGGGGAGGGGAGGGGAGGGAGGGGGGGGAGGGAAGGAGGGAGGGGAGGAAGAGGGAAGATGAGAGGGGAGGGGAGGGGAGAGGAGGGAAAGGAGAGAGGGGAGGGAATGGGAGGGAGAGGGGAAGGAAGGGAAAGAAGGGGGAGAGGAGAGAGGGGAGGGAAAGGAGAAAGGGAGGGGAAGGAGAGGAGAGGAGAGGGGAGGGAAAGGAGAGAGGGAAGGAGGGAGGAGGGGAGAGAAAGGGAGACGGGAGGGGAAGGGAGGGAGGGGAGAGGAGGAGAGGGGAGGAGCGGAGGGGAGGGGAAGGGGAGGGGAGGGAAGGTGAGGTAAAGGGGGAGAGGGAATGGGAGGAAAGGAAAGAGAAGTTTACAAGGAAGGGGAGGCGGTGGGAAGGGAAGGGAAGAAGGAAGGGGGATTTGTGGAGTAAAAGAGACGAGAGAATGAATCGAAAGGAGAGGAGGGGAAGAGGAGAAAATAAGAGAAAAGAATAAGATGGAGAAGATAAGAGAAGAAAGAGAAATAGGGTGGGTATGAGAAAGAGGAGAGGAAAGGGGAGAGAAGAGAGAAGAAAGTAAAGAAGAGACAGAAACCAACCGTCCATAACGTACCTCCTCCCCCACTCCCCTCCCCCATGCTCTTTTCGCCTCTCAGTTGAAACAGAAAATCGAAGAGAGAAAG